GCAGTGAAAAGTGATATAAAATAAACGATGTGCAACGTGGGCCAGGTTAACATATTCCAGGACAAAGCGCGTGCCAGACGGCTTTCTAAAATAACCTTACATAATAACATTTAACCTAATCCTCCCATGCTGAAATAAAGTTCATGCTAATTAATACTAAGTGAGCAAAGCAATATTTTTTCATGTCCTATACTTAAGGTTTCCACTTTTTAATCGGGTAGAAAAATACGGACGTCTCCATAAAATATGAACTTATTGGAAAAAACATCTAAAGAATGACATAATCACATTAACAAAGCGAGTCATTCAGGTGATTGATGCATTTGCGCATTATATAGCAGCAGTCCTACTTTGACTGCAATGCAACGGTTTGCTTTGCAACAGATTATTTGCGGTCTCGAAATAGACAAGGCTGACATTTTCCATTGCAATAAAACTTGAATAAACCACAAATAGAATTTCTATGGCTGCTTAAATTTCCCTCGCATGGTAGTTTTGTCAAAGGACCTTATTAGATAAACATTTGTAAGAATGGGAAGCACATTGCAGTTTTGCCAAATCTGTGATCAATAATGCCCTCTGTACACAAATTCAGACTTTGTAAAGCTCACAAAATGCAACTTTAACGCAGCTGAAACCAACAAGCAGCACAATCAGTTGGGAAAACACTGAGGTCATAAGTGCAAGGCTCCCTAATAAAACACCAGATGACAACAGGAATGCATTTCAGAGCATTTAAAACGATGCAAACTGATGTAGGAAAAAAAACATTAGTAAAAAAAAGCGTCGAAGGTCTGTTTTATTATTGATTGTGTGTATGTAATCACTTCAGAGTTTGTAACCGCAGTATATTCAATAAGACATTGTATGGGGCTTAGAGGCTGATTACCTTTTCCAGGGGCCTCAGCTCAAAACGTCTCCTGTGTACACAGGAGTGTTGTGTTTCTGCTTGCCGAGCTTAAGGGCCACATACAGCTGATCCCTGCGACGTCAACACCTGCGTGCTAAATTAAGACAATTAAACCATCAAAAAGGAATGAAGTGATGTTCTCCTTTATGCATGCAACTATAAGCAACGTTTAATATCTCCCATGTTGCTCCCGAATGTTTATTATTTGAGTAACACACACTGATGAAAAGTCAAGTGGAGCACAGGATATAGCTACACCAAAGAAGTTTAAACCCCGCTTCTGCGGAGTGTGAAAAAGTTTGTCACAGAAGTTATTTGTACTTTTTTTTTTCATGTTCTAAACAGACTCTTGGTGCGCTTGTTACCAGGGGAGATAATGATGTGTACCTCTTATATATAATACAGATATTCCCATATATATATCTATATATCTATATCTATATCTATCTATATAGATATATAAATATTTAATTAACTTTAATTAAAATGTGTTTACATTGAAAAATTTGCATTTACATTTATCTGACCTTACTTACTAATGAGTGAGTCAAAAAACGACAAAAAAAAAAAGAAAGAGATAATACAGAATTTAGTCCTTTGCCAGTCTTTCAGTTTAATGTTTTGGGGATATTTATATATATATAACTGACTTCCAACATATTTGTTTCTTCGTGTTAACAGTAAACCTGTAGTGGTCCGTTGATTTGCCCTGTTTTAGTTGGGAAACAAAATGAAATTAGTTTTTGTAATTATGCTGAAGTAGTTAAATCTAAAATAACACGTCACGTGACCTCTTCAAAACAACTGAGACTTTGACTTGGTTTTTAAAGCAGCAGTCTGATTGCTACTCTGCACCCTTTTTGTTTTTTCAACACCTTACTCTGTTCTTAAAAAAGTATATAAGAATTGTAAAAAAATACCTAAATGACATCTTTCTTGCAAGTTAAAATTAATAATATTGATTAAAAAAATAGAACTAATTCTCATGTTCAAACTGGTGGTTTTGTTACTCTGAGTGGTTGTGTGTTGAAAAGGGGGGTGGGTGAAGGGTATGGGTTGTTGGGGCGGGTGGGGGGTGTTGAGGGGCTTCTTTTTGTCCAAAACTGATCCCCAAATTATTCTGGAGGCTCGGATTGGTGTGAAAGGGACGGGAAGGTCACTTGAAATCGCCTTTTATCCCATTGCC